AAAAAAAAAAAAAAAAAAGCGATGCCACCGCTCAGGGAGCGGGAGAGGGGACGTGCCCAAGGAGAAGGGGAGACTGGCGGGCAGCTGGCGGAGCCGGGCGGCTCTCTGAAGGGGCCACGAGGTGCCAGCGTGGGCCCAGGCCGCAGCCGCACCCGGGGAAGCCCCTTGGGCCGGGGACAGGAGCCACGCTCCTGGCAGGGACTACAAAGGCAGCGGCCCCGGTGGCCCTCCCGGAGGCAGGAAGCCCGCGGTAGGCACAACCGCCTTCGGCTGATTTGCAAGAAGCAGCAAACAAGATCTCCTTTTCTTCCCCCCTAAGGAAAAGACCAAAGAAATACGCTAGGAAAGGGGATGGGGGGTGTTTGTTTTCAGGGGACTCACTGCCACAAGTCTTTTCACAAGAGAGCGACACTATTCACGCCCTTGGCTCGGGCAGAGTTTGCCGTCAGCAGTGAAAATTCAGCTGCGCAGAACGGACTCGGCCCAGGGTCTGGCTCGGAGCCCCCACCCCGGGCACGGGGCAAGCTCGGAAACAGCGCGAGCACGAGGCTTTGCACCCACGAGTATCAAACCCCCTTAAAAGCTTAAGGGAAATATTTAACGTTTTATTATTACACAAGGGCCCAAAAATGTGGTTGGTGCTTTAAAGGTTAGAGAAACAGATATTATTTTAATGGAAACATTTACTTTAGCCAAAAGCACAGTGAGGAGCGTAATAACCATGTGCATCAAAACATAAATGTTTAGAAAAGCCGGGTTAGGAGCCACTCCTAACCGTGTCGGTACCAAGGAGCTTTTACTCAGCTGAGTAGAAACAATAAAGGCAGCAAAACGTGCTGCTCGGGTCAAAGCACATTTCCTTATTCTTTCCGACACTTTGAAGAACATCCAAAGGAAACACCTGAAGCAGCAGCCGCTGGAAGAACGCCGCGCCCCCAGCACCCCCCGACACGGGCGCTCTGTCACCCTCCCGGGCTCCAGGCATCCCAGCAAACTCACATCTGAGTCCGCTTCTCCCTTTCCCAGGAATTTGTCTCCTCGCTTTTTGCGCTTGTCTCTTATTTCTAGCATCCACAACAACCCACATTAAGTCTCCAGCGTTCAGTTATGCATCATATGGGAAAATAATCCCCTTTTATCTTCAAAAACCATCTACAACGGTTTTGCTGGGACCTAGCTGACTCACACTCGGCCAAAAAAAAAAACAAAACAAAACAAAGTGGCTTTCCTGCGAATAGGTTGGGCAGAATGTGGAGAAAAGCAAAATGTAACCAAGTTCCCTTCAGGAGCAGCAGCCCCACATCGCGGGGGCCGCGGCTCCTCCAGCCCCCGTCAGGGAGCACGTTTCTCCTCATGACGCCCTCCCTGAGGTCATAATCCTCCGCTTGCGCCATCACCCCGGTTGCTGTGGAAATGCTCGTGTCCCAAACAGAAGATTAAAACTCTAAAGTAGTGGTGAACAGCAGGGAGACGAGAATCGTGTTTTCATAGTGATTTCTTTCTTATGGAACACGAGCGAAAAAAAACTAAGGGGGGTGGGGGGGATTAGGGAAGCACAATCAGATTCCTGAAACTCAGAAGTTTCGCAGTTTTCCCAGAGGAATCGGCAGCTTCTAAGTGAGCTTGTCTTAAGTAAGCCCAGCAGATGTGGCAAGGCTAAAGGAGATAAAGATGAGCCTTTGCTCAGGTCGGTCCCTCCCCGCCCGATCGCTCTCCAAAGTGTCCCCTCAAAGTTTTGTCGTGTCTGAAGCCACCGGCCTGGCAGCAGGTCCTGAGGGATGGGGACGAGCTGCGGCCCCGTGAACTCCCTGGTGGGACCTTCCGCCTTTTGTGAGAGAAAACACCCCACAATTTACACCCGTAAGGGAGGCGGCTCAGGTGGACCAGCCTTTACCGCCCAGAGCGGGGGACGCCGCGGGGCAAGGCCCAAGTTGGGGTCAACGGTGGTTGGTGGCGGAAAGAAACGGCAGCAAGGAGAGAGGCGGTAAGGGACACCGGGGACTGCCCCGAGAGATCCCCGTCAGAGGAAACGTGCTGGGGGTCGCTCGGTGATAAAAAAAAAAATCAACGACAAATACAGCAGGTTTACGATGGAAACGCTGACGGTGCCTCAGCGACACATAAAAGACTCTGAACAAGGGGAACAAGGAAACGGAGACCTCGGAGGGGGAGGCCGCGGAAGGAACCTTACCTCCATCTGCGATATCTCCGACGTTATTTTCACCACCTTCTTTTCTGTAATCCTGGAGGGGGGGGGAAAAAAGAGAGAAATCAGTCGGATCCGCTCCCGCCAGCGTCCCAGCCGCGGCCCTGTCCCCTCTCCCAGCCACCCGCCGCCAGCTGAACCCAGGGCCTGTCTTTCAAACCAGAGCAGCCGCCAGGCAGCGTCCCCCTGCGGGGGCAAGTTCGGAGCCTGGTATCGAGGCTGAAGGGAAGATGAAGCCTGTGGGGTTTATAACCAAAGCCCCGGGTACGGGGCAGGAGAACCCAGCCAAGGCGCAGCCGCGCCAGCGCCCTCAGCGCTCCCAAACTCCTCGGGCGAGGGAGGGAAGGGAGCTGGAAGAGGCACGAGGACCGGCCCCGCTCGCGCCCAGTTCCCACCACGGAGGCGGGGAAGGGCCGACTGCCGCCGAGGCTGGTCAGCCCCAGGGGGACACACAGGAGCACCCCCCCGCCCACCGAAGCCTCGACTGTGAGCCCCAAGGAGCTTTTATTCCTTTATGGCCCTCAAAGACAAAGGATCGTTCTGTTCTAGTTCATGGGGCAACCCCAGGCAGCTGTGCCCAGGTCAGCACCAGCACCCCGAGCCCCGGCTCCGTTTCAGACACACACACTTCCCGAACAATGCGCCGCTGGCAACAGCGGGACCGGTAAAAAGGCTGCACGAAAATATAATGGAGTGGGCGTGCTCCAAAGTTTATGCTCCGAAAACAGAGCTCAGGCTCGAGGGGGGAAACAAAAGAGGAAGAGACAACGTTCGGAAGTTCCCAGGCTAAATGAAACAGCATCCTCCTCCTCCAAACAACTCCCATAAAACAGTGGGTCACAGCCAGCCTCATTAAGGTCTCCCATTTAGAAAAACGCGTGGCTTTTGTTCCCAATTCCCGGACAGGTTTCTCATTTTATGCCCTGAAAGGTAGTAATGGTTTAATGGCTCTTTCACAGGAAGCAATTCTGGCTGGGAGCTGGCGGCGCGGCTCGGCGGGCACAGGACGCCCCCTCCTGCCCACAGGCCACCTCAGGCCCGGTAGCCACAAGCCCGGGGCTCGTCCTTCGAGCCACAGAGGCAGAGCGAGCGGCCGCCGGACGGTCACACCGCGCTGAGGCAAAGGCCACGACCCTGCTCTAACACGAGCCACCACCTCCCCTCAGCCCAAACTCCGAGACGGGGCCACAGGAAACCCGCGGCCACCGGCCCCCGCGCGTCGGCTGGGGAAGGATAGTTACACGTCAGGAGATTTTACAGGAGGCTCTTCCACTTTGACGGGCGGCTCTGCCGGCTTCTGCTCTTCCTCCTGCAAGCCAAGGAGTTGGGAGGAGGTCAGGGAAGCAGCACCGCGCCCAGCCGAGCCGCGGAGAAACGCGACAGCGGGGACCTCGTCGAGGCTTGCAGCTTCTCCCTGGTGTAAAAGGCTCGCGCCTGGAATTCAGCCCGCGCGTACCCCGAAACGTCTGTTACGTTTAACGCGGCCCACCGAGGCGAGGCGGGCAGCAACGAGCGGGATTACGCGCTCGCAGCCTCGGTCGGGCAGGGCCCGAACGCCCGCCGTTACGGACACAGGGGCCCGTTTGGCTTCGCTAACCCTTCGCTGGAAGGTCCGGGAAAAACCCGGGAGGCTCCCGCCCGGCACCGCGGAGCGTCGGGCGGTAAAACCCACCTCGCTCCTCCCGGGGTATTTCTCGGGGAGCTGGGGAGGAACCTTCCTCACCCTCGCCCTGGCAGCTGGAAGCAGCAGCTTCCGCGGGGGTTTCAGACACGGAGCGCTTCCCCAGGCCGGATCCCAGTTCTCCCACTGGGAGAGCCCACGGGCCAC